GCATCACTTGGAACCAAGGTGGGACTACGCAGATGAAGAAGTAAGAGAAGATAGATGGGAACAAGGTTGGTGCTTAATGGCCAGGGGGAATAAAGCAACATTAGACCTCATTCCAATGGCATCCCATGCAGTGTTAGAAACTGAGGTATGAATGCTAGGAGCTAAATGGCACCTTATACCTAGGTTATGGGTGCCACAACGGAATCTGTATTTTTTTATATATAACAAGAATACAAAGCTGAAAATGAATGAACTGCAGCTAAAACATGGATAGGCAAACTAAGGCCCGGGGGCTAGATCTGGCCCAACTGCCTTCTAAATCCGGCCCGCGGACGGTCCAGGAGTCAGCGTATTTTTACATGAGTAGAATGTGTCCTTTTATTTAAAATGCATCTCTGGGTTATTTGTGGGGCCTGCCTGGTGTTTTTACATGAGTGCAATGTGTGCTTTTGTTTAAAATGCATCTCTGGGTTATTTGTAGGGCATAGGAATTTGTTCTCCCCCCCCAAAAAAATATAGTCCAGCCCCTCACAAGGTCTGAGGGACAGTGGACTGGCCCCCTGCTGAAAAAGTTTGCTGACCCCTGAGCTAAAATCTTATGTTCATTTTTCACATGGTCTAGTCCTCATCTGAAGACTGCAAAAAACAAAACCATGCTTCCCCTGCCTACCCGCCCCCTAATATTATTATGGGGCATCTCTTCTCCAGTCCTCAGAGAGTGGCTGGAAGTGAGGAGGCAGAAATCGTGTCCTCCCTAAAAGAGGGCACATGTTGCAGTGAGACCTGCAGACTGACCTCCTGGTTGTGGGCGGGTCTACTGGATAGCCACAACACCCGATTGGTAGGTCCCTCATTGCTGGGTTTAATCTGGCCAATGAGGTGCAGTCTAAACGCATCGAGGGACCTATTTATACCTATGCACATGACCCAGAGCTTCATCTTTCAGCTCCTGTATCGGAACACCCGCCCACCTCTCCCTACCTTTAGGGCATTTTGCGATTGACCTTGCTATGCCGTCATGTGTCATCTGTCATTGGAACAGGGGCATGGCAGGAATTTTCCCCACTTGGCTGATTGGCTGCTGCCATTTGGGTTTCGCCTGCCGTGTAGCAAATCGTCACAACTTGTAAGGTTGCGGATAGGCACTGGTTCATGTGACAGGGATGGGAGAACCGTCTCCCCATCCCTATGTGAAGGGTATTCCGTTAAAGGAATCCAAGGACTCAACTTGGTTTGGTCAACCCCTGAGCCCATGCCTGAGTCCAGGGGAGCTTCTGGGGAGTGAACAAAGTCTGTTCCCAGGCTTTTCACCTGCCTCAGGTGCTCACCCTTGACTGACCTATGCTGTGCCCTGGGTCAGCGCTACCTGCAAGGGTGCAGGGAGCTAGTCAAACCAGAGTCTATGCAACCACTCACTTTTCTGTAATCAGTAAAGCTGTGGCCTAAATTCTGCCAAAAACCAAAACTAAAATTTGAGTCAAGTGTGTGTTTATTTAGGGAGGAAGTCTCTGGGTCTGAACACGCAAAAAAGACCCTCCTTTCGTTCCAGCAGTGGAAGTTTTAATCTGAAACCTTAGACGCCCAGAGCTCAGAAACTGCTCATCTTAATGAAATTCCCCATCGCAAAACACGCCTAGAACAATGGGGTCAGTTTCGAACGCTGATCCCATGTGAACGGATGTTATTCACTCCTATGGGAGAGAATACTATGCTGAGTTCAGAATGCTCAGTGTTCAAAGTGGCCCTGGAAGTCATTCAATGCAATAATGCAAGATCTCCAATGCAGGGAGCAACTACAGCATCCTTGACGCATCGTCTGCTTAAATACCTCCAGGAGATGTATTAGGACTCGTCTTCTGTTCCTGATGTTGGGTGGCTTGGTTTTCCCTGGGAGGAATCTACCAAACACTCAAGACAGATACGACAACTTCTCAAAGTCGTCACAATGTATAACTTCTCCTTGCCTGCATACGTACCACCCATTGCGATAACAGGAAATAACTTTTTTTTGCAGATGAAAGAGAATTATTATTATTATTATTATTATTATTATTATTATTATTACTTTTGCACTCTCAATATGCATCAGATGACAGGCACTTTGAGAGCAAATTGTAATACCTGGATCCCAAACTCCGCAGAAGCCCTGCTCCTGGATCACTTTGCTGAAGCCGGCGAGCGTTCAGACTCGAGTCCTTTGTAATCAGGACACAGATGGTTTCTATGGGCTATTTCTGTGCAGTGCTGGGAAGCCAGGACGCATGGAGTGAGTTACTTCAATTACATAATGGCTTTGACAATTGTACCTAGAGAACCCATCATTAAGGGAAGCTTGTGTGCTCAACAAAGGGGAGGGGGCAGGAACAGAAATCAATTCAGCATGCGACCGGGAGACTGAAAATTTCCCTTCTGATCCACAAAGAAAACTTGGGTGTGTAAGTAAAAGAAACACGTTCAAAGCTGCAGGTGGCTGTCAGTGAAACAAACTCCCATGTAGATTTGAGGTTGTAGCATCAATGTGATTTTGTTTTGTTTTGTTACGGTACCGAGCGAGGCAGAAACCGAGGATAAAGAAGTATGGGAGCCAAATTTGATTACCGCAAGCATTCGGTCTGACTCACGAGCTTGAAAAACCGGGGAAGAGGCAAATGTACAGAAGTTAATGAAGCCTTCAGCCTACCCGCATCATGTTCCTTCCATTTGTGCAACGCAAGACAAAGCCATACAACAGACGGGAGCACCTGTCAAGTCTCACACCACCAATGCCAGATTTTCTGCATGGCTTCAACGAAACAAAAAAAGAGGGATGTTTTCAACTAGAGCTGAAAGTTCAAAGATCCAGCAAACAGAAGTTTCTGGACCTAAGCCTCATCCTGGATGGCCAGCTTCTGTTCATTAGGCAGCTATGCCTTTTCTGAGGTATTAAGGCCAGTGTGTGCCCGATAAATCTTCCAGCTGGACTACTGTAAAGCACCACACAAGGGGCTGCCCTTGGAGGCTGTTTGGAACCTGCAACCTGCTCAGCATGCAACAATTTCAGCGTTACATCTAGGGAGCATGTAGCACTTATTATCCTTGAGCTCCCCTCGTTGCCGATTTGTTTTGGGGCTGAATTCGAGTTGCCTGGATTTTACCATTGAAGCATTGTACTGTCTGGGCCCAGAATACCTAAGGGAGACAATTTGCCACATACTCTTTCCCACACATAAAATCTGCAACTGAGGATATTTGGGCATCATAGGCGTCAACTGGAAGAAAATATTGCCCCCCTCCCTCCACTTCTGTGGAGTGTACTACCCTCCCCTTCTTGCCCACCCACTAGCCTCTTTCTCCTCACCCAAATGCAATGTTTCGGATTGCTCAGCTACCCCACCCCAAACCTGGCTGCTGGCCTCTCCTACTGGCTGGCTGACCTGCCTCTCCCCAGATGCCCCAGCTCAGATGTGTTCAAAAATGGTGCCAAAAGCTGGGAAGCAAGATGGGTAAAGAGGGTGGCGATCAGCTGGGGGGCGGTGGCAGGAGGTGGCTACCCAAGGGAGGAGCCAACTTGCAGAAAATATATAGGTAAAGGCAAAGGGACCCCTGACCATTAGGTCCAGTCGTGATCGACTCTGGGGTTGCGGTGCTCATCTCTCTTTATTGGCCAAGGGAGCCGGCGTACAGCTTCCGGGTCCTGTGGCCAGCATGACTAAGCAGCTTCTGGCGAACCAGAGCAGTGCATGGAAACGCCATTTACCTTCCCGCCGGAGTGGTACCTATTTATCTACTTGCACTGGTGTGCTTTCGAACTGCTAGGTGGGCAGGAGCAGGGACTGAGCAACGGGAGCTCACCCTGTCGCGGGGATTCGAACCGCCGACCTTCTGATCGGCAAGCCCCAGGCTCTGTGGTTTAACCCACAGCGCCACCCGCTATGGGGGGATGGCTAAAAATGTCATTGGGGATGTCAAAAGAACCAGGGTCCCATAGAGTTGGTGCCTGTGTGTGGCATACTTTTGTGTGTGTGTGTGTGTGTGTGTGTGTGTGTTGCCCCCAACCCCAGCTAGTGAATTCACTTTCCACTACAGGATTTTTTTTTTCTTTTGGTACCGCAGAATTCTGTTAGGGTTGCCACATTTTGAAGAGCAAAAAGGGACACGTTGGCCGACTTCTGCTTTTAACCATGGATCGCTATGACAACTCTACCCATGAAAAAGAGGACATATCCCGGAAAAAAGAGGTTATACAGCAACCCTATACAGTGGTACCTCGGATTACATACGCTTCAGGTTACATACGCTTCAGGTTACAGACACAGCTAACCCAGAAATAGTACCTTGGGTTAAGAACTTTGCTTCAGGATGAGAACAGAAATCATGCTCCGGCAGCGCAGCGGCAGCAGGAGGCCCCATTAGCTAAAGTGGTGCTTCAGGTTAAGAACAGTTTCAGGTTAAGAACAGACCTCCGGAACGAATTAAGTTCTTAACCCGAGGCACCACTGTATATGGCTAATAAGGAGACTCCTTATTTCAATGGGGCTTAACTCCCGAATAAGCCTCTGCAGGATTGTAACCTTAGGTGAGTGTTCTCTTTTGAAGCAGTAGTTTCTAATGTCATGTGCTTCCAATTTGCCTCTTCTCTTATCTTGCCATTTGATTTTATTGCACTTTTAACTGTTTGTCTCCGTGTGCAGACGCACGTGCCCTTTCGGCGAATTCCATTCGGAAAGCGGGTTGTAAATAATCTAAATAAATAAACGAAAATTAAACAACAACAAAAAGGAGAACGGGACCTCTTGCTCGCGCAATGTTTACCTAGCTTGGGTGAGGTCATACATGTAATACGTTTGCCTACGCTCGGATATTGTTCAGAACGCTTGCTTCTTTTTCTGCATCCGCGAGGGGTCGCCTTTTGCAGAGCGAAGCTGCTCTGTCCTGCAACCGTTGTGCAGGATTCATATACAATGTCGGAAGCCAAGGAGGGGGGCGAAAGACGGATGTACACAACTGGAGAGGCTCGGGGAATTTGGGGAGGCGGGGTGCTTTATTTATTTTACCCTCAGCAGCCCCAGGGCAAACCTCTTCCGCAGGCACTTGTCCGTTTAAAGACGAAGACGTTGCAGCTTCCCTCTTTCCCCCGTCCTACGCAATCCCAGGTCAACGCATACTGTACTTGCAACAAAGCCTGAGACAAAACCTAGGCAATTATCGTGTTTCCCCACCCCAGCCACCACCTCCCTCTCTCCCTGCTTCCTTCTGCAAAATCCCTGGCCTGAACGGAAGCTTTGCAAAATAAAATAAAAATCTTGTGCAAAAAAATAAATAAAAATTAAATACATTGGGGGGGGGGCAGGATGACACCGGGAAGGAGGCGGGCGCTTGTCACGCACGGCGTTTATCTTCAATGAGGAGCTGCCCCCTGCGAGGTTTGCACCCGAGTAAACTTGCACCTAGATCCACCAGTTGGCATTGCCAACTGGTGGTGCGGGGGGGGGGGGAGAGAAAGAGAGACGCCACCTCTCCTTTGCAAAGTGCGCGACCCACCCACGATCAGGCGGCGGAGCAAAACCCAGCGGGAGTGCGCGTCGGCGGCTTTGCATTTCTTTTGCAAGCGCCTCTCCTGCCGCCGCTTTGCAAAGAGAAGAAAAGAAGAAGCAGAGGGGATTTTGGCGCCAAATGCCTGGCACCTCCCCTGCTTTTATGGAAATCAGGGGGGTGGGGTTAAGGCTGGATCTCTCCCTCTCTCCCCCCCTTTCCCTCCCCGGGTGTGTCAGGATTTTTTTTTTTTTTTTGGGTAGTTAATAACATACAAGAGCTTCAAAGCCCACTCAGTGACAGTCATCTGTCTGCAAGCAAGGGTGGATGCGGAGGCTTAAGCCCGGCTGGAGGGTGGGGGGGTCGACCGGGCTTGCTGGTGCTCTGGAAAGTGCAAGGACATCCTCGGGCTTAACTCGCGCGCCCCCCACCCCCAGTCCTCTCTCCCTCGCCCCCCACGCACCCACCCATTTTCCGTGCAGCAGCCACCGCCATCCAGCAGGTAAGATGTGCCCGGGCGCGCGCGCGCGCGGGGGTGTGCAAAAAGAGCCACTTGGGAGAGGGGGGGAAAAAAGAAGAAAATAAAATCTGTCTTAACCGATGCAGCCCACCCTCAATTTGAAGAGGTGGGGTGCCGTTGGGTGTGTTGTGGTTTTTGTTTGTTTGGAAGGCTAGATACCTAGTGTCTCCTGATGGCTGGCGCGTTGTCTGTGCGTGTGTTGTTGTTTGTTGTTTCCCTCATTCATCGCAAGCCAACCATGCTGCGGTTTATTTTTATTTATTTCCGCCGCCTCTCCCCCCCCCCGCCCTCCCACCGCGCGCTTAAAACTGTTGATGTGGCTGAGTGAGGAGCTTGCGCGCGTCTGCGCTTTTGTGCCTTCGCTGCGTTCCGCGCGAGGAAATTTAGCAAGCCTTGGGTGGAGGTGAAATAATAATAATAATAAATAGTGGCGATCTCTCGTGTACAATAGTGGGAGCGATCAGGGGGGCGGGGCAGGCGAGAGCAGCAGCTGGGATGGCTTCGTATCCGCGGTGTGGGTTGCTTTGGCGAGCTCCGGTCGGGAAAGCTTTTCCGTTCCGAGCAGTTATTATTGCTATTGATCCCGGGCTTCGTTTCAGAAAGGAAAAAAAAAGAAAACCTCCCCCGCTTTCCTCTCCTCCCTCCCCTGCTTTCCTTTAATATCCCGGTGCCCGCGACGTCCATGCAGCGTGGACGGGGTTTTTGTTTTCTTTTGCTTTGGTGGAAACCTATTGCAGACTTTTACATGTCTGGACTGGCGCGATCCTGCTTTTTGCGCGCAGAATGCTGCGTGTGTCGTCCGTTTTAAAATATGCCTGCAAAATCGTGGATGCCTGGGTTGGAACTTGTAGTGTTTTTCTGTTTAATTTTTTTCGCAATTTACAACGCAATATATATATATATATTTTCCCCTTCCTCCCCAACCACCCTGCCTGCCCACAATCAGTGTGGCGCAAAAACTTCCTGTCGCCTATATTGAGAGGCTGTGTTGGTGTGTGTGAATGAATTTCATTCTGTTGCATAATGCTGCTGCTGCTTTGGGAGACTTCCTAGTTCGCCTTCCTACTCCCCTCTCTGCGTGTGGGTTTCTGGAAGCGCGCTTGGGAGTGAACGGAATGGCAATTTGCAAAGTAGCGCCGAGCGCGCCTCTCCCCTCCATTCCCCCCCCCCCACATCCGTCGTCCTCCTTTTCCCTCTCTCTGCGTAGCCTGCAGATGACAAAAGAGGGCAGAAACTTCCTCTTACTTTGCTCGAATATCCAGAGGGTGGGTGGGTTCTCCCCCCCCCACGGTGTCTGCCGCTGGATGAATTTCTCTCTGCATCTGTGAACATTTCCTCCCCTCCCCGGATTGAAGGGGGTGCGCCCCAAGGAGCAGACTTGAGAGACAGCAGCATGCAGGAGTTGAAGACAAGCCCTTGTACATTCATATAGCCCTGTTCAGATTTTCCTGCTGTTTCCCTACAGAAGGTAGAAGAAACCCGGGAACTGTTGCTGTATGTGGGTGGAGAGCTTTTGTTTCTGTAGGACTGTATCACAGGATAGGTGTGTGTTTCTGATTTTTTTTTTAAAGTCTAATTTGTTTTTGTTTTTTTCCCCTCCCACTTCTCTCCTGCTTAGTTTGTGATCCTGCCTGGAAAGGCGATTGGGGGGGTTCATCTCCTTTCACACCAAGTGGGGAAAAAACAAAACACAAGATTTCTTCTCGGAAGGAAAGTACGCAGAGATGCCAGGGATGGTCAGTAAAAACCCAGATCTTGAATTCGACTCCTTGCAGCCTTGCTTCTACCCGGACGAAGATGATTTTTATTTGTGCGGTCCTGACTCTGCTCCCCCGGGGGAGGACATCTGGAAAAAGTTCGAGCTACTGCCTACACCTCCCTTGTCTCCCAGCCCGGCAGGTCTGCAAGAAAACCCCCCCGGGGGAGCCCCCGTTTCAAGTTGGGGCGGGGCGGGGACTCTAGGGGGGTTCCGAACCGCCGACCCTCTGGACTGGGCTTCGGAATTGCTGCTCTTGCCCCCGGAAGCGGACCTGTGGGGCGGCGGCGATGGAGGGGACTCCTTCGAGACCGGCTTGGGGGAGAACAGCAACCTGAACGCCATCATCATCCAGGACTGCATGTGGAGCGGCTTTTCCGCCAGCGAGAAGCTGGAGAGGGCAGCGGCCAACGAGAAGCCGCAGAGCAAAGGAGGAACAGCTGTCGCGCCGGCCACAGCTGGGTCTACAGCCCTCTCTGCTGCTGCCGCTGCTGCAGCCACCGCCGCCGCCGCCAGCAGCTCTGCGAACAATGGCAGCAGCAGCAGCCAGGCACAGCTGAACAGCTCTGTATCGGAGTGCGTGGATCCAGCCGTGGTTTTCCCCTTCCCTATGAACAAGAGGGAGCCGGCTGCTCCTGCTGCAGCGGCTGGGATCCGAGGGAACCTTGGCAGCGGCAGCGAGGCGGTTCCAGGGGTGGCGGCTCCTGCTCAACACAGCGGCTGCCACCCAAGCGCAGCCAGTGACAGCCGGACCGGCTGCAGCTCTGGCGATGACACGCTCAGCGATTCCGGTAAGTAGCCACATGCTTTCCGGCATGCACGCATCGCTCCGTTGGGAGGGGGGTGTTTCGACTTGCAACGCTCTTCCCCTGCCCCTCACAGCAAGCCAACACAGTAGCATAGCTACCTTGCTTCAGTTGTGCCACCAGCCAGAGTGGCGACAGCTATGCCTGGATAGCTCAGTTGGTTAGAGCAGGGTGCTGATAACTCCCAGGGTTGCAGGTTCGATCCCTGAATGGGACAGCTGCATTGCAGGGGGTTGGACTTAAAGGTCCTCAGGGTTATGATTCTGTGAACCGATAGGAAGCTGGGTGCGTGATCACCAGTGGTTGGGTGGCTGATCACCAATGCTGTTGAATGATCCCAAAGCATCTCCATTAGGCTGGTGCATTTGGACATAGCTGCCTCTTTACCTATGGAACTGGAGAACGAGGAAATGATCGCTTCTGGTTGTTTTGTTTTGTTTTGTCTCCCAGGCTGTAACCTTTTCCTTCCTGCATCCAAATCATACCTAAGGCTTACCCGCCCCCCCTTTACACACCAAACCAAAGTATGCAGATCTGTATATTCCTATAGGTCATGTCTCAGTAATAGTAAGACTGAGTGGAAGTTACTCACAGAATTCTAGAGTTGGGGAGGAACCTTGTGGTTCTTCCCTGCAATGCAGGAATATGCAGCAGGATTGAACCTGCAGCCTTGGTGTTTTATCAGCACAGCACTCTTAACCAACTGAGCTATGCCCAAGGTGGCCTGATCTCGAGGTGAACCTTCTGCTACAAAGCAATAAGGTGGAAAGAGAGGTTTAAAGCAGAGGTGGGAGGGGGAGACACGGAGAAGGAGAGAAGCTATTTGACTCCTGTGGAATTGAGGGAGGGGTAATGAATGCTGCTATTTATGCCCAGGAGCTCTGCAAAGACAGGATACATAGGGCTAATGCATTTGTTTCATGGGGAGAAAATGCTTGTAGAATGTAGTCTGCTTGCATTGTTAAAAAAAAAAATTAATAAAATTATAATCTAGACAGGCTTTCCAAACTGGTAGGTGAGTTTAATTGCTTCCCTGCTAGAACCATTACAAAGCATGACCAGTAGGCGGCAGGGTACATGCCTCTCTTACCAAAAAAGTTTCCCTTGGGGACTCTGTTCCAGACAGTTGTATGGGTTCCTCCTACCTTACACACAAACTTTTGCAGTGCTGATGATGGATGGATGAAAGAAATTCATTTTTTAAAAATAAATCCGCAAGCCTACAACACATTTATGCTAAACATCACTGCGGTTTTGCACCTGGTTCTATTACTGCTGCCATATATACTGTATACAAGTTTTGCATGCAACAGCGTATTGTGAAAACACAAGAGCGATTTGCTCTTTTGTGCTGGGTGTGGACGAGGCATCAAAAATCCCTCATCGTCCAGCAATTTTGCAGGTGTTTTAGCAGGGCGGAAATACAAAATGCTGGGCTGCAACTTAAGTGAAACATTTACACTCCTGGTGGGAGAGAGGGATAGTAATAAACACAGCTTCCCATATGTAAATGAGAGTATCCCTATGACCAGAATCATAAAGTTGACGAACAGCCTCCTGTTTCAAAACACTCGCTGCTCCCTTCATGTCTGCATCTTGACAGCTTTGAGTGAAGGAGCATTTCCTCCCAACAGCTGTCTTCCTGGCAGTAAACCAAAACTTTGGCTACCAACTGGAAGAGCTCTGCATTCCCTGCTAGAACAAATCCAGCAATTGTTTGGTTTCCCAGTCCCTTTTCAGTCAAGCAAGATGTGTGTGTGTACATTTAATGTGCATTGTGTGCCTGTTTGTATTGTCCGTGCAATTTAGAGCACAGACTGGTGGCTTAAAATGCAAATTAGGGTATTTCGTTTCCAGATTTATTTCCATCCTATGATTATTTGGGTTGCAAATTTATTTGCTTTCCTGCACAGCTTGAAATCCAGTGCTTTGTGCTATTTCACGTGGATCTAGAGCTACATCTTGGTTACAAGACCTGCAGAACTATATAGAATAGCATGTAGCCTCTAAGGCACATGTATACAAAGTCCTTTCTCTTTTACCTTGAAATGCTGTTTCCCTGCCTCCTTTGCGTTGCTTAAATATTTATACATGGGCATTTGCCCTGGGAATTGCTTTCATTTCGCACACATATATGCTAATTAATGCTAAATGCTTGAGAGCCTTCTGGTGTGCTTTCCTGAGATGGTAACACCTCCCTGTTTCTTCTCTCTCTCCCCGATGTGTTAAAAGATGAAGATGACGAAGAGGAGGAGGACGACGAGGAAATCGACGTGGTCACCGTGGAAAAGAGGCGGTCCTCATCCTACAAGGCCGTGACCACCCTCACGGTTGCAACGCGCCCCAGAAGCGCCACCTCTTTTGCCTCCGTGAGAACTCAGCCAAACGACGTCCTCCTCAAGCGCTGTGCCCCTATTCACCAGCAGCATAACTACGCCGCGCCTTCGCCTTACATCGAAAGCGAGGAGGTGCCGCCCCAGAAAAAGCTAAAAACTGAAGCGCCCCGTCCCGTCAAAGCCATGACCCAACCCAAGGCCAAGAGCTCCAGTCCCCGAAGCTCCGATTCGGAAGACAGCGAGCGCCGGCGTAACCACAACATCTTGGAGCGCCAGCGGCGCAACGACCTGAGGTCGAGTTTCCTCACGCTTAGGGACCATGTGCCGGAACTGGTGAAAAACGAGAAGGCGGCAAAAGTCGTCATCTTGAAAAAAGCCACCGAGTATGTTCATTCGCTACACGCCGAGGAGCACAAGCTGTTGCTAGAAAAGGAAAAACTGCAAGTCAGACAACAGCAGCTGATAAAAAAATTGGAGCACATGCAGACTTGCTAAAAACAACAAAAAAAGAGAGATATTACAAAAAAATAACAGCGTTGTTTTTTTTGTTTTGTTTTTAAAAATGGTCTGATCTGGACAGCCACTGCCACTTTGCACATTTTTGATTCCTTAAAGAGAGTTATGTTTTTTGACGTTAAGAATGTTGGTTTTACTTTTCAATCCAGTCTCCGAATTGGAAGAGACTGCCAAACCGTGATGGGGATGCCTTTTGTATTTTCTCCTAGAACTGTATATGTTCTTTATCAATGTTGTGAGCCTTTGGATCTGCTTATGACATCCAGTTGAGTTTGGAAATATTCATTCCTTTTTAAATGGTGCTTATGTTCTACCAGGTGTTATGGGGCAAAACCATTTTGTACCCTGGGGGGGGGGAGGGCGGGGAGAGAGTGGGGAACAAGCCACACCTCTGTAAATAAAATACACACCCACACTTGCCTTTTGTACATGTCTTGGGTTATGAGAGGTGACTTTTTGCTACCAATATTAGACTGGAAGTTCATACCTAAGTACTGTAATACCTCAATGTTTGAGGAGCATGTTTTTGTATGCAAATATATTGTTAATCTCTGTTATGTACTGTACTAATTCTTACACTGCCTGTATACTTTAGTATGACGCTGATACATAACTAAATTTGATACTTATATTTTCGTATGAAAATGGTTGTGGAAAGTTTTGAGTAGATATTACTTTATCACTTTTTTGAACTAAGAAAACTTTTGTAAAGAAAATTTACTATATATGCCTTTTTTTCCTAGCCTGTTTCTTCCAGTTAATGTATTTGTTAATGTTTGTTGCATAGAACTGGGTAATTGCAAAGTTCTGTGTTTAATTTCTTCCAACGATGTACATTTAGTGCTGCATCTTTATAGCACTTTGAAATACCTCATGTTTATGAAAATAAATAGCAGTTAAATGATGTGTTATACTTCCTGCTTATTATAGACATTTCTCTACGTTATTTCCATCCCTTTCATTGATAGAAAATAATGCCTGCAAAAAATGTAATACAGCTTAGTATTACCCTGTAATAAATTGCTTGCTGAGCAAACTTCAGTTAGAATTCAGTGCTTCCCAAACTTGAGTCTCCATCTGTTTTTGGACTACAATTCCCATCATCCCTGACCTTGTTAGCTAGGGATGATGGGAGCTGTAGTCCAAAAACAGATGGAGACTCAAGTTTGGGAAACTGAGTTAGATTTTGGACCAGGCCCGGTATATGAGGTTGGATCAGGCATGGGATAATGAGTTCAACGTAGATTTTCATCAGGTGAGAATGTGGTCTTTAGAATTAAAAATCAACAGAAACTATGTTTATCTGGATCATATTTTGCCTATGACCATTCTCAGATTAGCCAATAGGGATTTTGGACCTTGACTCCTGCAATTAGGATTGCTATTCTGGTCAGCCTGTTTAGTGCCGATTCTGATTCCGAAATGTGCATTGGAATATAACAAAAGAAATTACAATAGCTATCCTGTTGACTTTGATAGGGATTACTCCTAAGGAAGCCAGCACAGGGTGGCAGTCTGTTTACTTGGGAGCATGGCATGGGCGTAGCCAAGGGGGGGCAGAGGGGGGGCAGCTGCACCCCATCAAGTAAAACAATAGAAATACAGTCTTACCTTGGATCCCAAACTCCGCAAACCTGGAAGTGAGTGTTCTGGTTTGCAAATGTTCTTTGGAACCCGAACATCCGTCGGGGCTTCTGATTGGTTGCAGCAGCTTCCTGCAGCCAATCAGAAGCCACGCTTTGGTTTCCGAATGTTTTGGACGTCAAAAGGACTTCCGGAACGGATTCCTTTCAACTTCCGACTGTACTTAACTACCTGGCCAATCACGCTGATTCTGCCCCTCCCTTAACAAAAGTCCTGCCCCACCCCTAACAAAGTCCTGGCCATGCCCATGGAGCATGGCCTGTAAAGCTCATAGTATTTACTGCACATGATTAGAATCTGTTCCAGGGTGAGGATCAAGACTGCCCTGCTGAAAGGAGAGCAGTGGGAAGAGAGATTTTAAAACACAACCCCTTTCTCCTTTGGGCTTCCCACAGTAGTGTGGCTCTTGAGCCTAGCATTTCAGGCATATAACGAAAAACCACTACTCACAAAGCAGAAAAGTAACTGCTTCCCTCTTTTAACAGTGGTGCTGTCCTCAAGATTTCTCAGTGCTTCAGTAAGAGCATCTGAACTCTCCCCTAAGCCATCAGTTTGTTTCTGTGTGCAGGAATGATCCCCACAGCACGCTAGCCATTTGCAACTTTGCGTTGCCCACAATATTAAGCACCCAGAACCTGTTTATTAGTAGGGCTCGACGAGACTCCACAGATTCTCAAACGTAGCTTGGCTAACTTAGCTTGGGTAAACTAGGCGCCTTAAAACGGCGCTTCTGACAACGAGGAAGTTTGTGCTCCCAAATGCAGCTTTTTGTGGGCTTTTGTATCGTTTTGCAGTGTTTTTGTATCACCTGAATCCAGGACATAGGCACTTCAAATTTCTTTTCCCCCTAATAATAATTATAGTAGTTGTATATTCATTTCTAAGTTCATCTATGCTTGCTGAGTTTAAACCGGGACATTTTTGTGTGTTTACCTTTTGTTCAGGAAAAGGACAGTTCATTGTAGTTGTGTGCAGTTGAACAGCAGTGATTTTTCAGCAAAGTTGTGCTCTAAAGATCCTGGAATTTGTAGGCAGGTGTTGCTGTTTCAGGATAACAGCCACTGCAGTAGTGGAAGTATAAATGAACCCTGTATAATCAGCCAGGCTCTTATTCATGCTGATGTTTTGTAAATGAAAACCAAAAGACACTACAAAGTGTTCCCCATTTTATAAATAATAGGTACATCTTCGAATTTTTACACTAATTGTGAATGACCGGCTGAAGACATGTATCAATGTATTTCTACTAGCAGGGCCACAATTTTGGAAGGTCCTTTCCTTAAAGCAGGCCCTTCAGACATTAGACTACAGTTCCCATCATCCCTGGCCATTGGCCACGCTGGCTGGGCGTGATTGGAGATGGATTCAACAACATCTGGAAGGCCACAGGTTCCCAATGCTTGTCCTGGAGCAGTGTTTCCCAATTTTGGGTCTCTAGCTGTTTTGGGACTACAACTCCCATCATCCCTAGCTAGCAAGGGGTGATGGGAATTGTTGTCAAAAAATAGCTGGAGACCCAAGACTGGCAAGCACAGCTGTGGAGGCTTGCCACAGTCCAAACTTCAGCGTTATTTAGAAGTCCTCTAGGATGGCATTTGATGGTTTTGGTTAAGCAGCCATAAGCATTTCATGTCATACATTTTAAAATCTATTTGGAAAAGAACATTTGATGCCTTTTCTCTCTCTACCCTAGGGTGAGACAGAAATCATATCAGCCTGGTATAGCCTGCTCTTTTTAAGAGTTGTTTCCCAAACTTGCGTCTCCAACTGTTTTGGACTACAATTCCCATCATCCTTAGCTAGCAAGACCAATGGTCAGGGATCATGGGAACTGCAGTCTCAAAGCAGCTGGAGACCCAAGATTTCTATCTGCATGCTCTCTGACGGTCAGTTAGCAGACTGCAAAAGTGGGGAAACCTCCATTGACCTTCAATTCTCTAAGTGGGGCTTGCACTTTTGCTAAAATTCTGTCTAGGGGACTGTTCTATTAGGCCAGAGATGGGAACCCCAGACAACATGGCCAAAGGTCCAGTGGATGGGAGCTGGGAATCCAGATGTTATGTGGAGTTGTATTAGGCCATGCACATGTCATTTTCTCTAAGGATAACTTCTCATTGTACTTCACTTAGAGACTCTGTTTTGCAGCATACCTGAGTAGCTCTTTGCTGATGAATTCAAACACGGATCCAATAGCCTGGTTGCTGTTTTTTAAAAAAGATGCTAAAGGAGACCTCTTTTTTAAAAAGATACTACAGATACTTCATATCTGCAATAAATACTCGGTGTGTCACATTTTTTCACACCAGAGGCACAATTAATAAAAGCGTAGGAATGCAGAAAGTTGCCCTATACTGGGTAAGACGATTGCGTACAATCCAACATTTCTCCGATGAAAATAGGGACGTCCTATTCCATTATTATTATTAGGTACTCCCCTGCCTATCAGACTGGGTTGCCCCCAGCCACTCTGGGTGGCTTCCAACATATACGAAAACATAATAAAACATTAAAAAATCAAAAACTTCCCTATACAGGGCTGACTTCAGATGTCTTCTGTAGGCTGTATAGTTACTTATCTCTTTGGCTTGTGGGGGTCGCATAACTCCATACCCTCCAATTTTTCTCCAATGAAAATAGGGGCATCCTAAGGAAAAGCATGACATTCTGGGATCAAATCAGAAACCAGGGTGGCTTCTGTAAATCCAGGACTGTCCCTGGAAAATAGGATGCAATTGCTCCATCTAGCTCAGTATTGTTTACAATGCCTTGCAGTGGTTTTCTGGGGTTTCAAATAAGGAACATTCCTAGAGATGCTGGGGTCTGAACCTGGGAGCATTTGCATGCAAAAGAGATGCTCTGCTACCAAGCTAATCAAACGTTGGCCTGGGACTCTTCAGTCTCTATGAGAATAGCCTAGGACTCCCAAGGGTCTTGCTCTTCTGAGCTTGATATGTTCCCAAGTACCAAGGTGGTGTGGAGAACCCAACAATCTTGGCTCGCTGAAGGATTTAGAACATCTGAGGCTGCCATGACAGGCCACAACATGTCCATCTCGCACGTTCCTTGCAGAATAGAACCAGAACCCTGGCATCTCTTCTTAGGCTTGTTCCAGAAGCACCTCTGCCTGCACCAGAACCTGTAGCCTTGGACCACATTCCACTTGGGGTGGAGCTGTCCCTCTCCTCATCCCTATTTCACTTGCAATCAGGCAGAACAAACTCAGGAGGCGATTTGCGACGTTTTACGGAGGACATTCAAAGATGTGTTTGGATCAACTTAGATCATCGCACCGTAGCATAACTATTTTCTGGACCAAGCTGTGTTTAAGCTGCATGTTATTCCATTCTTCACTTCACCCCGTTACTAGGTAGTTTGCTGTCATCCCCTTCCTCTCCCATGGGACTGTATAATCATTTGTGTTTTGAGCAGTTTAAGCAAACCGCATGCTGGGCTGTTATGTGAATGGTGGATTGCTTTATTGTCACTTCAGTTTGTCTCCTCCTCCTCCTCTTCTTCTTGTGGATATCCTGGTTTACACCTAGTCTGTAAACCTTCTGGGAGAGGAAATGTCTGGTTTCTTAGTGGGCTTTACAGCGCCTCTGTCTGATCCTGAATAAAGATAGTCTCCACCCCTTTTGACTGATTCCTTAATTGTCTCAGCATGATGAACTGGGCAGGGGTGGAGAGGACCTCAGAAACACTTTTGCCATCTGCGCTGCTCTTTAGCTAGGTGGGTTTAGGGGTGATACCTGGGGGGACGGGACCCTTTCCTCAAGGAAGAACTGAGAAAACTCCTTGTGAAAGATCACACTCTGTTTCAGACAATACAAAGTGTGTGTCATACCCTCCAACATCTCTCCGATGAAAATATAGACATCCAAGTCTATTATTATTATTATTATTATTATTATTATTATTATTCTTCCCTGCCCATCTAACCAGGTTGCCCCAGACCCCTGGGTGGCTTCCAATATGTATAAAAACATAATAAAACATTAACATTTAAAAACTTCCCTAGACAGGGCTGCCTTCAAATATCTTCTAAAGGTTATCTACTTATCTCCTTGGCTCGGTGTGTGTGTGTGTGTGTGTGTGTGTGTCGCATAACTCCATAACCTCCAACATTTCTCATTTGAAAATATGGACGTCCTACCATACCCTCCAATATTTCTCTAATGAAAATAGGGACGTTCTAAGGAAAAGCGGGACATTCTGGGATCAAATCAGAAATGGGAACTGCCTCTGTAAATCCGGGACTGTCCCTGGAAAGTAGGGACACTTGGAAGGTATGGCACATGTATGTGTGCATAAACCTTTGTATTACTAGTATTATTTCTTTTAAAAATTATTATCCCACCTTGCAGCCGATTAAGCATCGCCAGAGAGACTCACAGAAATATGTAACTATATATTCACAAAAGCGAACAAACAAAGCAGTGAAAGAACTGGGAAGGCCCTTCTTTGATCTATAACATGTCTAGGTAGGGGTTGGTAAGATTCCTTGCTTGAAATCCTGCAAAGAAATCCTGCAAAGAAATCCTGCAAAGAAATCCTGCAAAGCCACTGTAGACACTACTGATGGTCTGATTCTGTAAAAGGAAGCTTCCTGTGTTCTCAGTGCAGCATTCTAGAATGCAACAGGAGCAACAAAGGTACGACTTTTTATGTGACGGGGCAGAGACACTGAGAAAGTATTTTTTATTAGAAATGTTTATGATGTTCTCCTGGTAAAGACATAAATCAATCTTTTTGTAGACCATCACTGTGCTTCTGAACAGAGTAAATGTGTTATTTGGAATGTGATTAAAAACATGGTTTGTCTCAGCTGATGTTCTGAATATCTCACTGCCGGAAACACCCCCACTGTAACATTCATATAAACTGCCCATCGAGTATGAAAAGTTCATATGTGTTGTTTCACAGTGCGTTCCTTTCAAAAATGCATGTGAGCGAGCAGTGGGTTTTGTGTGCTTGTTCAGGCAGCTTCAAGCAGTACCAGAAGGACTGGCCCTTTTGAGACAAGACCTTTTCTCAAGCAGAGCTTTCCTTGTAATTTACTTACCTATCTATTTTTTTTAATGAGGAATATAGATCGGGTGGCCAGTTCTACAAAAAAGGGGATTTGCATTGTCAAGAACATGGACGGAAGAGGATGCAAATTTGCATAAAATACTGCATACAGTGCAACAGAGATGTAAATTGAGAAACAATTACTGTCATTTAAATAGAAGTGCAATAAATCTATACCATAATGGGGAAGACATCAGGTGACTTGCGGGCTTGCTCAAACTGACTAGACACTGCTCACGGTTGCTGGTCAAATTCAAGGCTTCTGATCTTCCTTTGTATGGTTCCTTATTTCAAACCAGACATGGACAGGACAGCCCTCAAATAGATGGTATTTTCAAAACAGAAGACTGTACAGTCGTACCTTGGGAGCCGAACAGCTTGGCATTCGTACATTTTTGCTCCAGAACACCGCAAACCCAGAAGTGAGTGTTCCTGTTTCCAAACTTTTTTGGAAGCCAAACGTCCAGCACAGCTTCCTATTGGCTGCAGGAGCTTCCTGTAGCCAATTGGAAGCCATGCCTTCGTTTCCGAACGTTTCGGAAGTCAAACGGACTTGTGGAACGGATTCCATTTGGCTTCCAAGGTACGACTGTACAGTAAGACACACGACCACCTTAAATATAGAATGGTGTGGAAGTAGGGGCATTGGGTACCCAAAGCTGCCAAACATCTTTTTAATAACTTTAACAAAATATTCCTTTCCCCCACCCCCAGTCAAAAAATGTATAGAAGTTTGGTTTCCTCTAGTGTATCCAAATCTCTGGATTCATTCCAGCCCATGTTTTACAGGTAGCGGTGGGACCTCACCAGGCAAATCATGAAGCATTCAGCTAGGCCTAATTCTGTTCTTTCCTTTTGTAGCAGCTGTTTAAAATGAGAGGGGGCCCATTTGTAGTTTGCATTTACTGCCTTTTCCTGCAGCTTCCTGCCCCTGCATCCTATCATATACTAGGGGAGTAAGATGTGTCTGTAAACATCCTGTAATATTTACCGTTATTAAAATAATGTTGATATGCCATGTTACTTTTTTCTTTCTGGAATAAGCAACATATTCAAAGCGAGAAGGTACAAAGCTGGGAGCTAAAACCTATGCCACAATAAATGTGTTGGCCTTTAAGCATCCACAAAAATCTCTGTTGTTTTCAGTAACAGTCTGTATGTGTTGATCCTCAAAAGAAAGTTATTTTCTGTTCATGTGATATCAGGGCATGGGCTGAGGGAGATTCAGAGGCCGTATCAAGCGTAGAAAGGAATATTTTTATGGCTGCTAAAGATAGGTCACTCTGTGGAGATAAAGTAAGAATGTGGAGAACTATTACTTCAAAGGATATCTTAATACTACTACATTTCCTATTAGTACTCTTATTTTTAAAGTTTACATATGGAAATATTTGAATGGGCAAGATTGAAAGAAAACAATAATATTGATATTCAACATGGTTGGAAAACCAGAAATATCTTAGGCTATGTATATCACACATTTCAAATACATTTCAAGGACATGACTTCCCCCAGATAATCCTAGGAAGTGTAGTTTGTCAGGGTGCTGGGAATTGTAGCTCTGTGATGGTTAAATGACAGTTTCCAGTATTCTTTGGGCAAAGCCAGGTATTTTAAATGTGCTTCAAATGGATGCCGTGCAAACAGCTGCAATGTCTAATTATATCAAAGGGTGTCCTAAATGTGATGCAATAAATGATTCCTTTATATCATTCTGGGTATTTGTAGCTGAAAGTTTTGTAGGATAATTGAACTGTGTATTTGTCTTTTTTTATTTTTAATTTTTTACTGATGTGTTCTTTTTATTGGAAACTCTAATAAATATCATTAAAAAAAGAAAGAAAGTTTTGTAGGATAGAAAAAACAGCACGTGCGCACACATGTAATAATAGAAAATCAATAGGGTTTGTAATTTAATGTTTGGTCGGAAGTATAGATGAGAATATCAAGTAACCAAGAGCAGTGAGCTATGACGAGATTTCCTTTACAAAGTAAGACCTCCAATTGTCTGCATCTCAGACCTCCTATTTCCTCAGAGTAACCCAAAGATATGGTATACGGCATTATGTTTTCTTTCAGGGTTTCTACAATTTGGGGGGGGGGCAGGGAGGACACTCTCCTTACAATAATAGGGAAATTGAGACCTCTAGCAAATTTGCAGAGAAATGCTTGCAGGAGAAGTTGTATACTTTTAACGATGATTTCACTTAATCATTTGTGACCAATGTTTTCACAAACGCTTTATAGAACATTCTGGGATCTAATCAGAAACTGGGACGGCTTTTGTAAATCTGGGACTGTCTCTGGAAAACAGGGACACTTGGAGGGTCTGGCATTTTAAAAATCACTGGAGAGGAAGATGTTATTCATTCCTGTAGGCTAGCTAGAGGCCTTCACTGTAGAGCAGTCTATACATTGTATGTGTGTATATGGGAATAAATATATACTGGTAGCTACCAGAATGGTTGCAGGTTTCTCTCTTTTTCGTACTGAGAAGAAAGAGTCTGGCTCAGGGACTGCATCACTCCATTGCCTCCATCATTTCTCCGATGAAAATAGGGACAGGGTGGCGCTGTGGGTTAAACCAGAGCCTAGGACTTGCCGATCAGAAGGTTGGCGGTTTGAATCCCCGTGACGGGGTGAGCTCCCATTGCTCTGTCCCAGCTCCTGCCCACCTAGCAGTTCGAAAGCACGTCACAGTGCAAGTAGATAAATAGGTACCGCTCCGGCGGGAAGGCAAATGGCGTTTCCATGCGCTGCTCTGGTTCGCCAGAAGCAGCTTAGTCATGCTGGCGACATGACCCAGAAGCTGTACGCCGGCTCCCTCGGCCAATAAAGCGAGATGAGCGCCGCAACCCCAGAGTCGGCCACGACTGGATCTAATGGTCAGGGGTCCCTTTACCTTTAAGGAAAAGCAGGACATTCAACTCAGAAACCTTCTGTAAATCCAGAACTGTCCCTGGAAAATAGGGACCCTCGGGGGGTGGGGTCTGTAGTAGCCAATCAGAAAAGTTTCCAAAGTCGGCAATGGGCGCATGAGGGCACTGAAAGCAGGGCAAGCAGACAGCTTCCATTCATTATTCTCCGAATCAGTAATTCCCATTTGCTGGATGAATCCACCACTCTGTATTTGTGATCTCAGAGAGGCACAGTGCAGGGTTTATTTCCCACCTCCTCTCTTTGCCATTTTATCCACAGTAAAGTTAAAGGGCCCCTGATGGCTAAGTCCAGTCGAATTTGACTATGGGGTGTGGCGCTCATCTCCGCTTCCAGGCCGAGGGAGCCGGCGTCTGTCCGCAGACAGCTTTCCAGGTCATGTGGCCAGCTATGGAACACCGAAACCGAAGCCAGAACGCATGGAAACACTGTTTACCTTCCTGCCTATTTATCTACTTGCGCTGGTGTGCTTTCGAACTGCTAGGTTGGCAAAAGCTGGGACAAAGCAACGGGAGCCCAGCCCATCGCGCAGATTCGAACCGCTCACCTTATGATCTGCAAGCCCAAGAGGCTCGGTGGCATCAATCGTGTCATTATTTTAAGTTAGGGATGAACTGCGACAACAGATAGGTGTAGGGGGAGAAACTGGTACTCAGGAAAGAGTTCTGTCCCAGGCTGGCTGGGAACGAGAGAGGGTTGGGATGTTCTGGGAGGCAGTATTAATTGTGTTATTTCGTACAATGGCAGCTGGAGAGACTTCTAGTAGCTGATTCAGAAAATTAGGTAAATAGGTAAGTTTCAGTGAAATCCAAAAACCTAATGTGACCCAGGTATAAAAAGTTTAGGGAACTTTGCTCTGAGATTGGCTTCCTAGCATCTTCTTACCCCCCCCCCCAAGATGGCTGTCTAGCGGGTGATTCGTTGATAAACAAAACTAGTTAGAAAAAGTACTGTGGGTGGAGGATGAATGGTTGGGGAAGTGATCTGCATCTCTAGTTATGCAGCCCAGCTATGTGCAGGCATTTGTAGGCATTTAGTCCGCAGGGCTTCTGAAAGGATATAAATAAACAAGTTGTTAACAGTATCAGCAGTCTCTGATGTCTACCCGCCCAATGGCCTGTAATACTTCGAATAGCTAACTCCTGCTATGTAGCATACAGTGATATTTTTTCGGAGGGTGTTGGATGCATGAGAAATGTCAGCTCTGCATCTATTTAAAGCTCTGAATCATATCTGAAGCAGTGAATCATTTAGAGAAAGTTCAACAAAATAATTTAATATCGCTCAATATCCATTTTGATTCAGAGTGGTGTGGATCTCCTGTTTTTATCAAGGAAAAAATAATAGTTATAGCAATTTATAATGAAGTGGGGGAAATGGTTTTTTTATTGGTTTTGGTTACGAATTTATTTTAATTAAAAAGGGTATTATATTTTTTTCTTCTTTTTCCTCCTCCTCCCTCTTCTTGTGATTACAGGTTCTTTTTTTTCAATTCTGCTATCAACTTTTAGCCAAGAAAATTACCACAATTAATTTTATAGCACCCAAATCACTCTTGTTTTGTTTTTTTAATGTCAACTTTATTTCCATAAAATGAAATTCATTATTTAAAGAATTTTATAAGCATTTTTAAATTTGACTTAAGTTCAGATAGGTGCATTCAAAATTTCTGATTTGTACTCCAAAGTGTTTGTATGGAAGCAGTTTGATTGCACTCAACTGCTGAGGTCTAGTCTGTATGTATATATGCTTCGGCAATAGAAGCTCATTCTCGTTCCCATTGTGGTAATGGTAACCTATGACTGCTGCATTCAAGTTCAACACAATGTTTACTAGACACATTGATACCTTGGGACCTTCTGCATGCACCAGAAATGCTTAGCCACTGAGCTATGTCCCGTCCCCAAGTGAGGGACGCCTTCCACTCTCTGGGATCAGACTTCGGTCAAGATGGCGGCTAGCTCTGAAGCGATGTAGAAACGCAATTTTCACTGAGTTTAATTGAGTTTTAATGGGTTTTAATTTCTTTTAAAACAATTATTTTATCAACAACTTATGTTTTGGAGCTGTAATGCCAACCGCAATTAAGTTTTAATGAACTCTACCGTGCTTTCGGATGATGTAGCGTTTTCGGAGCGAAGGCAAGCCACTGGGCGCATAAATCTCAAAGGTGCCGGCCGGTGCTGCGAGAGATAAGGAAGCTGTTTTTCTCCCCTTTTCTCTCTCCCCTGCTGACTTTGAACTGTAGATAGTACACAGCTGACTGTTATCATTCGCCTACAAACAAAGTACAAGCCTGTTCAATTGACTGCCTGCTTGTTTGGGAGTAGGGAGACGTATATAAGATACTGTATTTACTTGAATGTAATGCACCCACCCTTTTTGGCCAAATTACATCTCAAAAATTAGGGTGTGCCTTAGATTGGACGGCGCACTAGATTTGATTGCAAGCTTGAAAAGCACCGCTGACATAGCAGATACTTTTTTGGTTTCCAGCTTTTGATAACTGAGGAGCGCATTAGATTCGACGGTTCATTAGATTCGCGTAAATATGGTACTTTGTAATGGCGGTCACCCATCTTCAGTTGCAGCGTTTGCAAGTGAATAGAGCCTGCTTGAGTGGTCAGCAGAGACTACCTAGAATCACCATGAGTGGCTATTACTTGTATGCTATGAGTCATGTGCCATGCTTTGCTACTCTTGTTGATCTCACGATTGGCTCTATTGAAAATAAGGCTGTGTAGAGTTTGATTAATGACTCCATGGCGAATTTGAATCCACTCTTTTGGGCCAAGAGAAGCAAGTTCAGGAACAACTGGTTTCTCCCGTTTCCAGAAGACTCCAGTTAAGGAGATTGAGGATTAGATGAAAGTCACAAAATCGCTTTCCCACCTCTTCCCCAATTTGGATGTGCAGATTGTTTAGGGTTATCAAAAACTACAGAGGCTTTAAATATCACATTGCATTCAATGTGGAGGAAGATTGGAAAAAGTTTAAAGACTACCTACAGAAATATTGTAAAATTAATGAATGTTAGAATGATGTTGAATAGAAACTAAGTGGTCTTTAGCTGAAAGGTTACAAGGGAATATGAAAAAAGGGTTTATTAATATGTAAAAATCTAAAATTACAATATTTTTATGATTAATGATTAGGATACATAAAGAGGGGAGGGATTTGCTGAACGAATAATCGAACTGGAATACAAAAAAGGGAGGTGTGAGGAGGTCCTGGAACTAAGCAAATGAAGGTCAATTAACGGAAGGAATGAATTGTTTTTAACTATTTTTACTTTGTATTTTCTCTTTTTCTTTTTGTGTTTTGTAATATCTTGAAAATTTTAATAAATATCTTATAAAAATATATATATATATCACATTGCCGGGGTAAGATGGGGCTTATCCGCAAATTTCCTCATCAGATACACATTGAGCCGAAAGAACTGATTTCCTGGCACCTGTCCTCCAGTTAAGATATATCATGTGATTTGTAAAAAATATGCTCCTTACTTGTCTGTTGCAAAAGTAGCACTGTTCACCCAATTGACATTAAAATTAGTCAAAACAAACAAATGAAAACTAGAAAGGACCCCGGAGATCAAAGATAAGCAGCATGCTGCCTTGGGAGACAGGTGTAGACGGCTTCTCATCTGCATTTTGATTTCTGCTTTGAAAGAGGTCGAAATTCATAGGTTGTCAAGGAGAAAGAGTGCTTGCTCATCTTCTAGTCTCCAGCCCTCAAAATTGCAAATCAGTTAGGATAATGCAAAGAGCACTTCTTCTTCTCATCTTGCTAGATCTCGGGCTGACTCAACTTTCTAAAATGGCACACATTCCCCCAAAGAACCTACAGTATGTAATCCTTCGGGCAAATGTCCAATAATACCTTTAGAAGTAATAGTACTAAAGAGATGCTTCTTGCAGAATTGGCAAAAGAAACTGCAGCACCTCAAATGAAGACAAGTGCTTGCAATATGCAGGACGGTCAAGAAAAGTCTGCTCTAAAGAGATCAGAACCAAAGCTGGAAACATCCTAGGAGGCTTCTAGGCGTGAGAGCCGTCCAATTGCTGCTTCTGAAGAAACCAGTGAACCTGGATCTCGGGGTACCTCAACTTCTAGAATTGCAGACACTCCCCAAAAGAAACTACGCATTCATTTAGCCAAAGGTCCAATACCAATAGCTGCCATCAGTACTAAAGAGAGGTTTCGTGCAGAATTGCAAGAAGAAACAGCAGCACCCCAAATAAAGACAATTGCTGCAATATATAGGAGAATCAGGAAGAGATTTAAAGAGATCTGAACCAAAGTGTACTGAACTGGCAGGGCAACAGAGAAGAGGAAGAGGATACCAGCGAGGGCTGTAGCCAGGAGTGGGATGCACCTGGGCAAGCTGGGGATGGGAAAGCGAGGCTGGTGCAGAAAGTACTCTTGGGTTGATGGAGGATGATGAGGGGATGCGGGTTAGTGCACAGGAACCAGAACAGCAGGACCCATTGCCTGAGCCAGAGGGGCCCCTCCTTCCACAAACACAGCAGGCTCTGAGCCATAGGAAGCAGTGGGTGGGGCACTCCAGGAGGCTGGGGCAAGCAAGGGCCCAGAGTCCACCTCACTAGCTGGCCAGGTGGGGCTCACTAGCTCTTGAGAGGAGGGGTGTGATTCCTCAGTTGGAGTAGGCTTGGAACAGGTGAGGGTCACATGCCTCATCAAGCCCAGGTGCTGCCATCAGCAGGCAAACTATAAAAGGGAAGCAGAGCTCAACTGCCCATGTTGATGGACCTTAGTTTGGATGCTCTAGGATCTCCGTGGGACTGTGCTTCCTTTGGAGTTTGGATTAACCCAGGGATGAGGGACTTGACATAGTGACTTAGGTATGCCAGGGGTTCAGGACACAAAACATCTCTTGGAAGTTTCTAGGCATGGTGGGCACAGGACGTTGGACATAACATTATGTTTGCTGACTGGGAACAGTTATGGACCACAGGTATGAAATTTACGGCATGTAATGCCTTAAGAGAGAATATTATGAAAATGATATACCGGTGGTACATAACCCCAGTCAAGCTTGCAAAAATCTATCACTTGCCCGATAACAAATGTTGGAAATGTAAAGAAACTGAAGGTACATTTTTTCACCTTTGGTGGACGTGCCCAAAGATTAAGGCTTTCTGGGAAATGATATATAATGAATTAAAAAAGGTATTTAAGTATACCTTCCCTAAGAAACCAGAGGCCTTCCTCCTGGGCATAGTCGGCCAAATGGTGCTAAAAAAGGATAGAACTTTCTTTATGTATGCAACAACAGCAGCAAGAATACTCATCGCAAAGTATTGGAAGACACAAGAACTTCCCATGCTGGAGGAATGGCAGATGAAACTTATGGACTATATGGAATTGGCGGAAATGACTGGTAGAATCCATGACCAGGGAGAAGAGTCGATGGAGGAAGATTGGAAGAAATTCAAAGACTATCTTCAGAAACACTGCAAAATTAAGGAATGTTAGAGTGATGTTGGACTGAAAACAAGTGGTTTCCAGCTGTACAGGTTAAGTTAATGATAGACTAAGATTAAAGATTAAGATTAAAGATGTTTAAAGAAATGGAAATTTGATATTAAGAGGGAAAATTTTAACGTTATATGATACTAAGACCAAGGATTAGGTTTAAAGAAGTTGATTATATATTTTAATATTTTATTAAACTAAAGATTGGGATTAAAAAAGTGGAAAAGAAACTGCTGGACAAACAATTTGGTTTGGAATACAAAAGAGGGAGGTATGAGGAAGTCCAGAAAATAAGTAACTTAAAAATGGAAAAGAGATTTTGTTTTTAATTGTTATGTTTTTTGTTTTTTTATTGTTGAATTTTGTGTTGTTGTTTTTTGTGTGTGTTGTTGTTATATGTATTGCGTATGTTTTTTTTTCTCTTTCTTTGTTGTTTAAAACCTTAATAAAAATTATTATTATTTTTTAAAAAAAGGAAGTTTCTAGGCATGGGAGCTGTCGGATTGCTGCTCCTGAAGAAACAGCTGAACCTGGGTTGTCAATGAGAAAGAGTACTCAGTCATCTTCTAGTCTCCAGCCTCCAAAATCGCAAATGGATCAGGATAATGCAAAGGACGCCTCTTCTTCTTGTCTTACTAGATCTTGGGCTGCCTCAGCTTCTAAAATTGTTCTCCCAAACAACCTATGTAGTCCTTTAGCCAAAGGTCCAATAGTACCTTTCGAATCAACAGTAGCAGTCTGTACTCATGAGGAGCTTCACGCAGAACTGCAAAAGGAAACAGCGGCACCCCAAATGAAGACAAGTGCTTACAATATGCAGGAGGGTCAGGAAGAGTCCACTATAAAGAGATCAGAACCAAAGGTGGAAACGATCTAGGAGGTTTCTAGACATGAGAGATGTCAGATTGCTGTTTCTGAAGAAACTAGTGAACCTGGATCTTGGGGTACCTCAACTTCTAGAGTTGTAGACACTCCCCAAAAGAAACTACGCAATCATTTAGCCAAATGTCTAATACCAATAGTAGTAATCCATAGTAAAGAGAGGCTTCGTGCAGAATTGCAAAAATAAATAGCAGCACCCCAGATAAAGACAAGTGCTTGCAATGTGCAGAAGAGTCAGAGATCAGAGCCATGAGAGCTGTCTGATTGCTGTTTCTGAAGAAACTGCTGAACTTGGGCCAAATATAACTCCAGATAGATGCTCTTGAGGAAGGAAAAACGGTTAGAGAACCGAAAACAGGAGGCAGAACAAAAACAGATCTGGAGGAGGAAGGAAAGCAGAACTTGGGAGATAACGTTGGAGAGAGAGGATCTCCTTTCCAAACTGGTACAGGCTTGAGAGATGGAACAAAGAAGAGGTTGTCAGAGGACCACAAGGCGAAGAAAGAGATATGTCTCAAAGCAGAAAAAGCCCACCTGAGTTTTGAAGTTGGCCCAGCTGAATTTTGAAGCTGGAAGTTCTTGAAGGGCTATTCCACAACACTGTGTTACTTTTTCTCTGTAATTTGTTTTTCGGGATGTCTACAACTTCTTGTATAATAATAATAATAATAATAATAATAATAATAATAATAGAAATGATTTGACTTGCAGAAGCTTCTGAGGCTTGGTAAAGCTTCTAAGGTTTCTTCCATGTGCTCAGATTGTATTCACCTCTGTACTGTTTTATTTTTCTCTTCCATTCCCTTATAGACAGGAAGGGGGGGGGGACCTCACATGAACTGAATATGCCTCATTTTGCTGTATTTTCAGCCTGTGATGAAACTTTATTTTCCACCTTAAAATGGTGAGATTAACAGTAGCATATCCAATTCCATGGATGGAATGTGAAGCCCAGACATATTTCTACACATCTAGCCCTGCAGCCTTAACCACATATAACACTCTCATTGATGTTTTGAGGCTTGCAGGAGACCAGGGTGCAATTAGGGAGGAGAGCTTTATGCATGTGGGGGTAAGGCAAGTCCATTTTAGACTTTCCCCCCTCCATAAACACACCTTTCTTACTTCAGGCTGTTTTTCCTTACTACCTGAGAAACTGAAGATGGGAAATACTTATTCAAATTTCTGTAAACTGACTGCACGTTATTTTCCCTTCCATGAATTTTCTGTGCACTTTTTGAGGTAGGTTTAAATTTTCAGTGTCTACAGGCAGTTCATAAAATCGTAAAGGACAGCACCAAAAGTACTGCTGGATTTCCTACTTTCCTAACCCCCCCAAAATCCTTTGATGGTGGTTGGTTTTTTGTTTTGTTTTTCTCTAAAGTAGATATATTGAGCACTTTAACTGCACAAATCCAAATTTCCACTTAAATCCCTCCCACAACATAATGTCTGGAGGCAACCTATGGTTTACCACAGGCATAGGCAAACTCGGCCCTCCAGATGTTTTGGGACTATAACTCCCATCATCCCTAGCTAACAGGACCAGTGGTCAGGGATGATGGGAGTTGTAGTCCCAAAACATCTGGAGGGCCGAGTTTGCCTATGCCTGGTTTAGCAGCTTCAGAACAAAGCCAATGAAACCAACATTAAACCATGATTTTAATATTGGGGCTTGTTCTGAAGCTAGCAACCATAGTTTCCCAGTTTGGGCAAAACTGAGAAACTGTGGTTAGATGAAGAATTTCTAGCTTGTTTGCTCACACCACAAAGGGAGGGCCGATGGGGCTGGGTTATGTAGGCAAAATACCTAATTGAACAGGCTCAGTTTCCCTCATTCATTGGAATCCAAAATTCAGGATAAGAGCAGAACCAATCGCACAAGTTTCAGACCGAGGCATGGACATTTTTCTACAGCTATGTCACTGAACCCATAACAGGGATACTTCATGTCTCAGTCTGGTATCTCTGGTACGTCTTCTGAATCGGAATGGGTGTGAGAAGGCGACATCTCCTGGAAGTCCTCTCACTGCATTAAGTTCTCTAGCTTATGGCCACAAAAGCGTAATATTTTGAAAACTGCAACATTGATTATTCAAGCTTATGTATGGATTGACTGATTTTTATTTCAGCAGAGCTGCTGGAGAAATACCCCGCTAGATATTTGCTAGAGAAGCAGCCTTCTGGCAAGTTGTCCCCCTCCAACCATCTCGTAGCCACGGACACCCGCGTTTTCTTTCGCCCTCGCCGGCGTCCCCAATAGAATGAGAGTGAGACGTTCGCGGGAGCCTTTGTACTAGAAAAGGAAATGGCAGCAGACCCCCTTGACAATGAGCTCCAGTTCCAACCGAGCACAGCCTGCCCCGTAAAACCCCCACACAGAAGCTCCTCCAGTTCCCCACGTTACTCATTATGCATCCCCGGTGATCATGCCGCCGATGCGGAAGGGGCAACTGTGAAGGCTCACATTGATTCCCCTTTTCATAGGAGAGGAGATTGTTGGCGGAAGATCACTGCTAGCAGTCCCCCGCGACAGATTTTTTTCCAGCGCGTTGCAGGCAGGTTGGCCGGCTGCCTGACAATCGGCTGTTGAGTGACATATTTTGGGCAGAGCCGTGGCAAAATGGGAGCCATGTGGCTGATGTTAGTAAACATTATCCCGCACAGACTGGCAGGACACCGTCAGCAGCGGGAGGGTGAATGGCTGGCAGGCTGCGTGAACTGGACACACAGGCAGCTAAGCACTACCTAGGAGACGCAAGCCAAGGCCTACAATCTAGCAGCTGCTGCGGTTGCCAGGGCAACTAGAGACGAGGGAACAATGAGCTGGAAATCCAGCATGCAAGCTTTTATTGAAAGGTTTCCCCGCTACCCAGCCCAAGCAAGGTCACACTCCCACCCCCCCCACCCCCGTTAAAAAAACGTTTTCGGGTGGCGGCAGCTCGCTGTTGTTGTTTTGGTTATTGTTGCTGCATGGATCAATAGAGATATAGATATAAAGACCAAGAAGCAATAGTGTACAGAGCCATTTCCTTCCCAATGAACGGTGTGTGAAATTGGCGACGTGCTTTCGCTCCGTGTGTGGACTATACAAATGATAGGCTCACATACAGATCTCCTGCCTTTATATCCATTCCATCATAGTAGGGTGAAGAAAACATGCACGGCGGAAAAAAAGAATGAATTCATCTGAGAGGATACGTTTTCAAGCAGGAAAACAAAACGATTCTCTTCCCGGGGGGCGGGAATTACCCCTCGCTTCTCCTTCACACCACAAGTACTAGGCATACAAATCAACCTAGTCATGCAAAATATAGTCTTATTACTTAAAAAAATGTAGTCTGTAACAGAAAGCGCACAGGGTTTTTCAAAATTCATGTTTCACTCTAGTTATTTCCCCTGCATTTTTCAGTGTATTAGCGCCTTGTTTCCAAATTAAGATCAGTTTGGCTGCTCTTTTAATTACTGTAGTAAAATCATTTCACAGGGGACTAGGTATTCTGCCATTTCACTTACAAACCCAGCTAATAACCTCCCTCCAGATTTTTTGGGTTACAGTGCGCCCTTAGCCAGGGGTGGAAGAAAGCTAACGTTTGTTTGTCTGAACCATTAACCAACCGTGCCAAAAACGAACAGGTAGTTTTTGTTACTACCTGCCTCCCTACATATCGCTGTTATTTGTGGGATAAAAAGAATAGGGGAGGGGGAACTCTTTCCTAAATCTTTCCTACTTTGTCACAGAGACAACCAGGCTAGCGGCTATTTCCAACCCTGAATTGAATGCTTTATGTGCTGGGCCCAGTTTGTACGGTTGGGAACGAAGAAACATTGGTAACGAAGAAACATGTGACTGTGCGTGGACATTTGTACTCTATATTCTTGCAATTAATCTGCCTCAAGGAAGTGGGGCAAAGATAATAAGTAGTAGTCTATTATACTCAACACACACAGTACTGCAAGAATAAATATTTTGGATTTTTTGACTATGAAAAGCCTAGCATTGTGAATTTAAAGTGCCATTGTTGAAAAAAATGTAGTGGAGCTGACATTTAACATGTGAAACTAAATGGCACTGGGTTAATTGTATTCATAGAAAGAAGTCATCATGGAACAAGGGCTTTTATGGGGCAGGAGGGAGATAACCTTGAAGCACAAGCATTTTTACAAAATGCATATTCTCCCAAAAATGGCTTAGAATGCTCATCGAAATAAAAAAGGCATTAGAAAGGTATATATAATACATTGCATTTTGAGTAAGAATACATATTTTGCACTCAAGACTGCAATTCAAGGTAGCCACACCAGAGTCTTTTTGAATCGGTGGTCTGGTCACTCATAGAATTGCAATTGCAATTGCAGTGCAGGAATAAGCAGCTGTGCCACACGGGGATTGAACTTGCAATCTTGGCATTCTTAGCACCATGCTCTAACCAACTGAGCTACCCAGGCAGACGCACAATTTCAATATACAAAGTTAAGCCCGGCTAAGGCCTTCGTTTCTGTGGGTTTAAGCATGGACTGCAACCTCTGGAAGGTTTCTATGCATTGTGACTTATCTGCAGCTTATGGGGCAGCTTTCCTTCAGCTCTAGGGTCACACCCCTTTGGGACAGAAAAAAATGGGCCTAAAATATGGACCCCATTGAAATGCAATGACTCGGCAATAACACAGTAAAGGCTGGGTAGGCAAACTATGCAGATTCTGGAGAGGAGGACTAGCATGGAAGTAAATGTTGCATTCAGAGGCCTGGGTCTCTTGAAGATGAGAATCTGGGATTCAGAGTAGGCTTTGCAGAGGAAGAGTCTTATTTTATACTTCCTACCTTCTATACGGGCAGACAGCTGTTCTTTCCAGAATCTTTATTGTTCTGTCGGCTTAGCGTAAGTCCTGGTGTGGATTTCCTGGTGTGAGGAAACCCTGGCCTGGATAAACGAATGGTTCTGGCACAAGCAAGACAGTAAACCTAGCTTTTCTTAAGAGTTAAAAAGTCATTCCAGGGCTGTGTTTGAGTATAGGAAGATTGTCGGCTCAAAAACGTTTGCTCAGCAATGTCAAAGAGTGCAGGTAAACTGCTTCCTTTTCCACAGGGATTTTACACAAGGAAAAAGCCAGTCTGTACTCCGATGGCAGAAAGGAAACCCATCAGAGTTGTTCAATTCTTCCCCCATTAGGTCCCAAGGTGAGTTTATAATGTTTTCCATGAGATACAGGTAATAGAGATGTCAGTGGTCAGAGATGTCTCTTATCACATCAGGCCCTTAGCTAATGGTGAAGTACCACTGCGATGTCATACCCTTCAACATTTCTCCAATGAAAATAGGAATGTCCTATTTTCCCTTTTTTAAATATTGAAACTAGACTCTATATGAAATTTAAGTCCCACCCCCTGATTACACCTTTGGGGGGAGGCAAATTTGTTGAGCTTTTTGGGCAAAATCACTTTTTGAAAAGGCGTTTTTAAGCTTTGTTTTTTATGGAAAAGCGGCAAAAATGGCACTGCTGACATGGGTTGCCATAAGTCTGGATTTTCCCAGACATTTTCCCCCAATTTCCATCCAGACACTGCTGCCGGTTGTGGAATATTGGATATGTCAGGAAGATATGTGGGCAACCCTACTCAAACCTTACTCCCCACACACTGCAAATGTTGCCAAATCATTCCCTTCGTAGCCTTCTAAAGAAAAATAGCTCAGTAGGCTACCACAAAAATTAAAAAAAGCTAAGACCCCACCTCTGTAATATGAGCATTGGTAATTGAAAGTAATCTGGCAGGATCTGAAATTCACTATAGTCTGTTCTGGTACAGACGGGGTTACTGGGGTTAGAGCATACTAAGCCCAAAACGTTTATGGAGGAAAATAACATCTCCGAAGTCGACAGCATGTAGAACTCCTTTTTGTTTTTCATGTGAGTATCCATATGCAGACATCAGAAAGAATATTTCTGCTTTGATTCAGAGCATTTGCAATTGTAACGATATGAGCCTAAACAGGTGAACTGTGGTTTGTGACAGCTAGATTGTTATGAGAGAAACTTCAGAGCCAGAATTCTGGTCTCTGGTGAATAGCTCGCCGCAGCTCTGTTTGTGCAGACGTCCAAGGGTGAAGAACACTAATACAGTTGTCCGTGCACAACTGTAACAAACAATCTGCTTATTGTGTATTTTTAAAAAGCAATTCTTCATGCAGGCTAACAGGTGGCACAAAGTTACTGTAGGCACACTGTTGGAGAAGAACAAACCCCATTTAACGGAGATATTTGCATGGAGAGGCCAAAATTCGTTTTTTAAAAAATGATATTGTCAGTGCAAACTGTCAATCCCTCATGTTACACAGATTCCTCCTGTTGCATTCAGTCTGTCTCTGGACAAAAAACTCCTCTGCATGAATGTAGGGAATAATAGTAATAACAACAATACAAAGAAGAATGATGACCTCACTCTGGTCTTTTATATTGTGGTTTTCAAGTTGTATTATCAATGCAACACCCGATGCCATATAATTTTTCATACACTTCAGCTTCTCAAGAGGTTATCTAGTTATCTCTCACTTGGACTACTGCAATGCGCTCTATGTAGGGCTACCTTTGAAGGTGACACAGAAACTACAACTGATCCAGAATGCGGCAGCTAGACTGGTAACTGGGAATGGCCGCCAAGACCATATAAAACCAGTCTTGAAAGACCTACACTGGCTCCCAGTACATTTCCAAGCACAATTCAAAGTGCTGGTGTTGACCTTTAAAGCCCTAAACGGCCTCGGTCCAGTATACCTGAAGGAGCATCTCTACCCCCATCGTTCTGCCTGGACACTGAGGTCCAGCGCCGAGGGCCTTCTGGTGGTTCACTTGCTGCGAGAAGCCAAGTTACAAGGAACCAGGCAGAGGGCCTTTTTGGTAGTGGCACCCACCCTGTGGAATGCCCTCCCACCAGATGTCAAAGAGAAAAACAACTACCAGATTTTTAGAAGACATCTGAAGGCAGCCCTGTTTAGGGAAGCTTTTAATGTTTAATAGGTTATTGTATTTTAATATTTCGTTGGAAGCCATCCAGAGTGGCTGGAGAAACCCAGCCAGATAGGCAGGGTATAAATAATAAATTGTTGTTGTTGTTGTTGTTGTTGTTGCTGCTGCTGCTGCTAACTGAATTGAAATAAATGGTCATGCTTTCAAGCTATATGCATTAATGGAGAACACAAAGAGTGATTTCATTGCAACGTTCTTAAGTCTTAACTTTGCAAGATCTTTTAAGGGAGAGTAGGTGGGAAGACAGCAAGCTAGCCATACAGATGGCTCGAAGTCAGACCCCAGTTACTGAGAAGGGGTAACAACCTTTGCCATCTCTTATGAGGTTGTGGCAACAGAACTGTTGCAACACTTGCTTTTTTTCACTGCCCCTTCCCTGCAAACAGGCACCTTCTGTTTGACTGGGAAAACCCTTTTATAAAAAGTAGTCTTTCAGGAGTCAAGGTTCTTCATTAATGACGCTTGCTCTGTTCCAGTTGTGTGTATTCCAAAAAGCTGACGTTCATGTCCCCATTTGGAAACCTGTACAGAAGTACCGGTATGTCAGAATGACTGCAGTTTAGGAGATTTGATGGCTGCTTCATTGCATCCAGTCCTTGTGGTACAAGCATGTAGTGTTGTTCAGCCTGCACAGGTATTTTCATTGATTCATCTGGCTGAGAGACACTTAAGACAAGCACCAGCATGGACTTTTCACTTGGTCAAGGAGACGCTGGAAATGAAAGCTCCCTGCCACTTCTAATTGCTCGCCTTGCAGTTTCATTTGTGAATTATATTGCAAAACTGGGAGCCTTGTATCAACAACCCTTGATAGAGGTTTGGGTTCAGCCCTTTTTGCTGACATTAGATTGCTGCAGTTGCAAGCGAAGCATTGTGACTCTCTACTACCTTGATGGCAGAAAGTGAGGAGGAATTAAAGAACCTTTTAATGAGGGTGAAAGAGGAGAGCGCAAAATATGGTCTGAAGCTCAACATCAAAAAAACGAAGATCATGGCCACTGGTCCCATCACCTCATGGCAAATAGAAGGGGAAGAAATGGAGGCAGTGAGAGATTTTACTTTCTTGGGCTCCATGATCACTGCAGATGGTGACAGCAGCCACGAAATTAAAAGACACCTGCTTTTTGGGAGAAAAGCAATGACAAACCTAGACAGCATCTTAAAAAGCAGAGACATCACCTTGCCAACAAAGGTCCGTATAGTTAAAGCTATGGTTTTCCCAGTAGTGATGTATGGAAGTGAGAGCTGGACCATAAAGAAGGCTGATCGCCGAAGAATTGATGCTTTTGAATTATGGTGCTGGAGGAGATTCTTGAGAGTCCCATGGACTGCAAGAAGATCAAACCTATCCATTCTGGAAGGAAATCAGCCCTGAGTGCTCACTGGAAGGACAGATCCTGAAGCTGAGGCTCCAGTACTTTGGCCACCTCATGAGAAGAGAAGACTCCCTGGAAAAGACCCTGATGTTGGGAAAGATGGAGGGCACAAGGAGAAGGGGACGACAGAGGATGAGATGGTTGGACAGTGTTCTCGAAGCTACAAACATGAGTCTGACCAAACTGCGGGAGGCAGTGGAAGACAGGAGTGCCTGGCGTGCTTTGGTCCATGGGGTCACGAAGAGTCGGACACGACTAAACGACAAAAACAACAACTACTACTACCTTAAAAGCCTTGCATCATCATCATCATCATTATTTATTACATTTCACCTGATCCCAGGGCGGTTCACAACAGGAAACTATAAACTAATATATAATAAAACAAAAACAAACCAATAACCCCCACTTCCACAAGCCCTGAAATGTTACTCAGCAGAGGCGTCTGGCGGAAGAGAAACATTTGTAATGATGGTGCCAGGCAAGCCTCACTGGGGAGGGCATTCCACAAATGGGGAGCCACTGCAGAAAAGGCCTGCTCTCGTGTTGCCACCCTCCGGACCTGTCTTGGAGGAGGCACATGAAGAAGGGCCTCAGATTATGAAATCAGGGTCTAGGTCAGTTCACATGGAGAGAGGCATTCCTTGAGGTATTGTGGTCCTGAGCCATTTAAGGCTTTATAGATGAAAACCAGTACTTTGAATTGGGCCCGTTTAGCTGGTGCTCAGACTGTAAGAATATTCACAGTTTGGACTTCAGATCAGTTCACATGAACCTACCTGTATCAAGGAGTCACTGAAACTCCTTGATATTAAATTAAATGCACAAATATACACATTTATGAGCAGAGAGGTTGGACATGGGCCAACAGTTACAAGCAGAAATTTCCTTGAGCTCAAAATTCTAAGTGCTGTAATGCAAGGTGCAAAATTATTGCTGAATCGCCATCAGTACCTGAGCCTCACTTATGAAAATCATGATATGTATTTTCTTGGGTAGCCCAGCATAGTTAAAATACTTTCTGTGATATTCTAGTGCTGTGGGTCCAGTACTGTGACTGCCTTCTTTAAGGTGTTTGATTTCAGCAAGGATGAAAGCTCCGGCTGTACAAAAGAAAGTATGTAGCGTATCAACACGAGCCATCTAATATAGCTCAGTAATGGTGGGTTGTTGTTTTTAAGTAATACAATCTAATACTTAAGATAATTTGCTATTATATGTACAAAAATACTTGGCGTTAGTTTCAGGTGACGTGAAACTTGGTCGTTTGACCCTATGCTGAATTTTAATTCCTTTTCCATACATGCTTAAAAAGTGCCAGTGTGTTTTGGAACATGTATGCCAGGGAGGACAACCTCTGTATTGTGGGCCAAATGTGGTCCGCCGGGATGTGTTCGCCAAACTACACCCACCTGCCCCACACCTGATGTCATATGTAGTCTACAACTGTAGGCTTGGATCTAGAAAGGTAGTTTTCCTGTTGCGTAAAATGAAATGGGCATCAACAGAAATGCATATAAAATAGATACGTTATATATAGATATATAAATATATAGATACAGGGCCAGATTTAGGTTTGATGAGGCCCTAAGCTACTGAAGGTAATGGGGCCCTTTATATGTCCAGCTGTTCTTTGTCAACAACAAATTGTCACTGTTTTTTGTCCCGAATATATGCTATATGGTAATTTATGGACCTAATAGGTATCTAAAGCTATTTGCACATAACAAAATATGTATTTTATCAAAGTAATTGTTGAACTGAAATACAATTAAGAAGAAGTATATTAATAGTGAAATACAACCCTATATACAGTATAGAAATGAGCAAAGCAGTGATATTTTAGGGAGCAGGCTAGTAGGTGGGGCCCATTACTTACATCACAGGAGCCTACACAACACAAAACACTGTTGCTGTATGTAGGTTTTATTTTATTTGTTTTTTATCTTATATTTCGGAAATGTACGTCCAGTTTTTTTCCTTTAAATTTTTTTGGGGGCCCCAAGAGAGTGGGGCCCTAACCTATAGCTTGCTTAGCTCATATGTAAATCTGGCACTGTAGATATATAGAAATAGAGATATATAGATATATAGCATTTTTTAAAAAACCATTCTCCCCACATATATTGTGACAGATGCAATGAACAATTGCCACAGGATCCGTGGGAGAACAAAAATGAATATATAAACCTAGAGATGTCTTATGTTGCAGAAGTGCAATCTTTCAACCATATGTTCATAGATGGATGCTATACCTGAGGCAGTTCTGAGATGGTTAAGCATCTGCTTATACCTTGGTGGATAGATATCAGCATATTCTAATGCAGGTCACAAGTTCTTGATGATCTGCTTTTGCCTAAGGGGCTCAATTTAAAAAGAGGTCTGAGTGTTTTTCAAGTGGTGTGGCTCAGCGGATTCTTCTTGTAAGTATACAAAAATACAGTTGACAGTTTTCTAGTTGCAAAGTGTGATGCGAGAAAAGCATTTAAAAGATAAAGAACGGTAATTACAATCCTCAGAATGTATCCTGTTGCGGAACCTTTCACCTGATGAACACACTGCAAACTTGTTTCCCAGAATATGCATTTGGTGGACTGATAGCTAGGCACAACATCCTCATGCAACGGTACTATTACGTACTGCTGCTGTCTCACTGTAGTTTAGTTGCCCTCACAAAATCCTAGTACATTAGGTGATCTGTAGGGTCACAAACCCACAATCTGTTAATTCTTAATGATAGATCTGCACTCGTTGTGACTTGTCTTGCTTTTGCTGCTGTATTTTAAATTTATGGATTCTCCTTTCCCCTTGCATCCACTCCTTAGTTGCCCATCTGTTTGCTAGCACTCCTCAACTTTTTTCTTGCTTTCTCAAGGGCAAGACTTTTGAAATGAAACACTTTCCCCTTTTACACAACTGTATGGACAGAGACACCATGTTCTCTAGATGATTGAGGGGGTCTGACACGATAACCTGACATCATGCAAGCGGTGTAGTGAGCAGTCAGGGGGCACAGCTATATTATTTGCTAAAACATCTTTTCTTAAAACAGAGCATGTTTGCAGAACATATGGAAGAAAAATGTAAATGTACCAAAAAATAATAATCTCCTTTTAAGATTGCATCATCTATTGCAGAAGAGCACCTCAGGAAAAGTTAACCTCCAAACAGTGCCCTTTCCTAAGAAATCAAGGTGTTTCTCAGGCAACATTAGATCTATGGAGATAGCTGAAGTTACTTTTGGTTCCTTCCATGAGCCGATAGCTCAGTTGGTAAAGCATGAGACTTTTAATCTCAGGGTTGTGGGTTTGACTCCCATGTTTGATGAAAGATTCTTGCATTGCAGGGAGTTGGACTCGATGAACCTTGTGGTCCCAACTCTTTGATTCTATGATTCATATGATCTCATCCAGCCGCTTTCTGGAGTTCTGATAAGGCAGATACCACTCTGCTCTTTGGAAATGTTATGATTGTCACCTTCTGTTTTGAACATCATTCCATGACGCAAAGCCAGTGCAAAGCACCATCTGTAATTTCGGCACCCTGGATCGAGCCAAGCGATAATTCTACAAAGACGTGTTCCCCCCAAAGTAGTTTTCAGTTCTACAGCATTCCATACCATTCTTTTGTCCCTAGTTAGGGAGTTCATCATCTTGTGTGTACGCACAACATGTAACACATCACTTGTTCTCCATTTGGATGTTTCCCTTGGGGGTTTCTGCATATAGCTTGAGATACATGAAAGGAACAGGGTGTAACAGGAGGCCACAGAGTGCTTGCGCCGTCATCAGACGGCCTCTTCACTTAAAAGGATTTATTTATAGGACAAGTCAGTCGGTCGCTGTGTCACATGACCACGTGGGGAAACAGACCACAACTCAGCTTTAGGAAGAAGGCCATTCCCTCAGGAAATAGATGAATTTTGAATGACCTAGCTGGAGGGCCAAGTTGCTATAGTGATTAAAAGCATGGAGGCAACTGAAGAGAGATCATCATTGTTGTGTGATGATTCGGGGAGGACCCAATATTGGAGCATGCATTGCTAATATTTCATCTTTGGGGGATGAGGGATGGACTGCAGTCATCGCTCTGAGTAAACCACCGCCAGTCGCAGAACAGTAGCAGAAATGCTGACCACGTTTGCGCTTCTAATAAGCACTCTCTTGACAAATCTAATGCGGACGTTCGCTGCTGTTTCAGTCTCCCTTTTTGTAGTAGAACATTCTTCAGATTTCAATCTCTCTCTCTCCCTCTCTCCAATGCCCTGCTAGGCTACTGGTAATCTACTGCTAATCCTTTCTCCTCAGTAGCCACATAAAGAAATAAAAAGATGCCAGTTTGTGGCTTAGGCAGGCTACATTGAGGAAACCTCCACACTGCTGCCAAGACTTTCCATCTGCCACCTTACAGGCGCAGGTGCCAGGGAGACTCCTCCGTACACAAAGCATGATAATAAAACACAAAGGACCAATGTGCAGTAATAATTGCTAAACACACAGAAAGAGAGGCAAGAACTTTCTCCTTTTTTATATATGAAAGTTTACTTAAGTCTGCAGAGATTTGCATACAGATGGCTAGGTCAGAGCACTGTGTGTGCTGCCTGGCCTACCCAGGGCAGGGTGCCTTTATAAGCACACACGGCTTTTACTATAGCATAGTGTTGTGGAGAGGCCTCATTCGGCACATACTGAATAGTCATTCAAGTAGCTTGCTTTGAAATGAGAAAAGAGCTTGGATGGGGGGGGGGGGAGAGGGAGGGAGGGAGCCGGAGTAAAAGAAAGCAAATTCTTTTCTTTGTGAGACAGAGGAGGAGTGTTGGGAAAGGGGCCAGAGGACTTAAAGAATGCGGGTTAGCAACCAGGAATTAAGAGGAAAGTTTCTGTGGAGACACACAATTAGATATGTGGCATTCACCCTCTCCTTCTAGTGGGCAACAAGAGCAAGCACATTTCAAAGGGTTCATGGTGTGCATTAAAAGAGAGAGAGAGAGAGAGCCCTGTTTCTTAAGCTATAAAGGTAAGTATAACTGCCTGGAAATAACACACACACACACACACACACACGGGTTAACTTAAAAGCAGCAAGAAAGTTCTTCCAGGTGATGGCACAAAGCAAATAATGAACCACCCCAGATTCCATCCTGCCAGCCCAGGGTTTGGTCCCTTGCTGCCTAGCTTGCTTTACAAGCGAAGAAATAAATAAGTAAATGATAAAACAGTGTCTGCGATCTGCTGACTTCGCTGAAAGCATTGTGAATGATGCTTGGTACTGATTTATGAAATGTCTTGTTGGCACATGCTTCCTTGGCAAGGACAAGCCTGTATACAAAGGGACTGAGGGTTGCCTTGTAGACTGGTGCCATCGAGAAGGACCCTGCCTTGGACAACCATATGTTGAGCACCTTGCGAACTGGACAGACCTCAGATAGTAAAAAAATGAAACCTTATCCCAGGTTTTATCTTCAGCATTAAAAGTCCACCCAAAGAATCCAGCCAAGCCTTCTCATCGCCTTCCATGTAACGAATGGGCAGTTGCAACAGGTTTTCCTCCGCCATCTTGGGCAGACTCTGTGAGGGATCTTGTATGAGGTAGCACACAGGGAAAGCACACAAAGGCATTCTGATTTGTTTTTAAGTTTTCAGGATGGCTTGGCCTGGCCAGGTGGAGAGACTTGTATCATTCATCATCATGAATGGTGTCACAGGTCCTATCCACTAGGTGGACATGGCACTTGGCCACATTCCTCATAGCACTGTCAATAGTTGGGGAAGAAGCGTTTTCCTGGGAATTTCAGGACCTTCCTAGTGCTGAGAATGTGTGGCATCTCCAGAACATAAGTGTGTTATAAAATGTGTATGTTTTTGGCTTTGCGGTTGTCATTTAGCAGACATTTTCTAAGCCTTAAAATCTAGGCGAAGATGAACATTATCAACACCATCTGAACAGACCCTTCTTGAGCAAAAAGCGAGGAGCTGTCCATTTCACATATTCACAAGATGCCAAAGTACGTTTCAGGATTTGATTTGTGGTTTTGAAAAGCTTTGGTTCGGTTTTCAAAGACACAGCCAGCTCTTACCTAGGCAAACCTAAGCACTTTGACAAGTCACTGATTTCACTAAACAAATGTCCAACTCTCTGTCTTTCAGGTCCATGAGATCCAATACAGAGTTGTCTGGATCATGTCCCTTGGGTTGTATCCAGATGAAATTAGCTGTGCAAAGGTCCCACTGAAATGAAAGTGAAAATTATAACCAAGTCTCACTGAACTAAATGAAACTAAGAGCAGGGAGGAGTGTGAGAATTTGTAGCACAGCAAGCCCAACATTCAACAGGTTGGTGGCTTGCTGGGGTGAAAGGTGGTAGGAACTTTACTACTACTATTACAATTATTATTATTTATTAGATTTCTTACCCGGCCTTCATCATAAGGTCCCAGGCACATTACAACCATGAAAAAACAAAATATTAAAATCAATTTAAACATTTTTGCCAATCAGAAGAATGCACTGCATCCTTTAATAAATGTATATGTTCATGTGTATATCACTTTCTTCCCCCACCCTGACTACTGTACCCTCACTTTAGGTGCTGATGAACTCTTTACACAAGGTAGTTGTGAGGATTAGACCAGGAATTCAGCATTAAACCCCCAAGGCATAATTATGAACCCAGTCTGGAGCAGCAAGCTGCCAAACTATGTTAATTTCCTGGAGAGTACACCCATTTTCTAGGAGTGGAGGGGAAAAGCAAGGCTAGAAAAGACACCTCTAGTGAAAATTTAAATGAATCTGAAATTGGTGGTCTGAACGTGACAGGATTGCATTTATATCCATACTAAAAAAAAAAGTTTCAGTTTTAAAATTTCAGTTTTAAAATTTGCATGGAAAAAGTAGTATTCCAGGTTAAAAGCTAAGCTAAACAAGAAGCCAGATTTCTTCAAGGTGACATGGTCATTTTGCATCTAGTTGCTGACTTAGGCATGTCTGCCAGTATCTGATTTATGATTTGCCATTGCAAGTGCCAGGTCTGTGGTTGGTGGAACCATAACATTAAATTCATTTTGTCACCTTGTTGTGCATAACTGTGTATGCGCTTGGTGTGGTCGGTATCCCAGCGATGCCAATGGCAAACACCCCCCTTGATTTTAGTGGATCTGGCTTGCGACTACAATTCCCCCCCCCCAAAAAAAAACCCCAGGCGTATGCCAAATCCAGCCATTGCTTGCTTCTCTGCGGAGCACCTAACATGTTGGAAAGGGAACAAATATGGCTTATTTCTGTCCTGAATATATATTTTCATAAACTTTATGGCCGCAATCCTGCATAGCATTATACACACATAAATCCCTTTCATTCCAGCAACGCTTGCCTATCTGTAACTGTGCACAGGATTGTAGCCTATGACTTCAGGGTGTGTGTTTTCCCCCCTCTCCCCCCCCCCCCCATTCCTAAGGTTAAGTCTTACATAATCACATAACATTTTACAAGCCATCTGAGTAAGGCAAGAGAAGGGCGGAAGGTGGGGAGGGGGGAGTTAGCCATGGACAAAATCCAGACTCTTGAATAGTCCTAACTGCTAAATTTCCATATAAATGATCCCTTTAGGAGTTAGGCATTTACTTCCAATGCCTTCCTGGTCTGTGAGGTCTGAAATTATGCCAGTCTGGGGTTCAAAGCAATCTCAAGATCTCTAAGAATTTCCTAGAACCATGTGCCCCTGGGCACCGCTGAATACATTAGGGGGGGTGGGGAGGAATTCATGGCTTTTCTGTTGTGCTAAAAACACAAACACACCCTGCCCAATGGAACGGCCTCCCTGCTTCTCCCCTCGAATGTTGTTCTGGGGGTTCTTCTGACACCACCACCCCCGAGCAGATTTGGGGGGCACACAAGGGGGTGCAGAGGGGGAAAGCTCCATTGTACTAGCGGGAAACCTTGCACTGGTTTCTGCTAGCGGACCTATTTGGTTGATTCCAGTTCTGTTTTCCCCAAATCCCACCATATACAGTTATAGCTCAAATGTTGCAAAATACTACAAAATGATCCTTTTTAAAAAAAAGTATTCAGGATGATATTTATTATTTTATAAAACTATTTCTCTGCTTCCTTTCACTTCAGATTGCACTGAGGCAGCTTAAAGGTAATGGGACCCCTGACCATTAGGTCCAGTCGTGCCCAACTCTGGGGTTGCGGTGCTCATCTGGCTTTATTGGCCAAGGGAGCTGGCGAACAGCTTCCAGGTCATGTGGCCAGCATGACTAAGCCACTTCTGGTGAACCAGAGCAGCACACGGAAACGCCATTTACCTTCCCTCTGGAGCGGTACCTATTT